GAAGAAGAGGAGGGAAAAGAAGAAAGCAGAGAGGGATGAAAAGAAAGACAAAAGAGGAGGCAGGAGGAACAGCATGTAGACGAGATTATGAGAAGGAGGGCAAGTGTCAGAAAAAAGAGGGGTGAAGAGAGAGAGAGGAGGAGGAGGAAGAGGAGGAGGCGTCCTGCAGGTGCAGCAACAGAAGTGCATGCAGGATGCTGATGAACAGAGTAGAGAAAAGCAGTGATCTCTCACTCGGCTGCAGTTTCAGACTTTTAAAACGCAGAAAATGTGCTTCTACTGAAGGCTTAGCAAACAGCTCTCCCTGCACTGAACACACATTTATCATTACATTACATTACATTTCATTTAGCTGACGCTTTTATCCAAAGCGACTTACAATTACAGGGACATTCTCCCTGGAGTAACTAAGGACTAAGTGCCTTACTCAAGGGCACACTAGTGGTGGTGTTCCTGGCGGGATTTGAATTCACAACCTTCCGATCTTCAGCCCACCTCACTATCCATTAGACCACCACTATCATAACTTACTCATCAAACTCAAACTGACACATTTCTAAAATGTTGTCCCGTTCCTGTTTTTTATTTAGTGTTTGGTCATAATTAGCCCTGACAGCAGTTGAATACAGTGGTGCAGTGATGACGTGTTTTTGTAGGCCGACCCGGAAGTTAGCAAAAAGCAATGTGATCGGATTTTGTAAAAAAGGGCAATGGCAAACACATAGTTGCTTACGAAATCTCTTAATAAATATTATATAACCATTACTTTTATAAAATAGTTGAAGCATACATGTAGATGCAATCACAAGAAGTAAAAAGCAAACATTAGGCTTTAAAGGAACTTCGCATGACTTCATGTCCCCAGCGCTAAGCTAAAGGCGGCTAATATTTGGCCTGATGATGTTTAGTCGTCTCATTTAGACACTTGTTAGCAACAGCCTATTTTCAAGACAGGTAAAACCTTTAGACACTCGTGGGGTATTTACTGACGTATATTTAAATGTTACAAAACAAAATTGTGTAAGCGTGTATCTACCAGAGACTTTATTTAGCAAATCTAAGCCAAACGTATTGATTAAACCATCGGCTTCAAGACAGTGGGCCCAGAAGTGCTAAAATCCATTCCTAACTAATTTCCAGGTTTAGGGTTCAGTCCTGGGGAAACAGATAATTGTTTTTAGTGGCAACAGAGTGATCGCTCTTTTCGGTGATAGAGGATCTTTGGCTCGTCTGCAGCCACAGCTCCCAGCAGCTCCTGATGACAGAGGCTAGTGTGTGTGAGAGTGTGTGAGTGTGTGTGATGGGGATTATTGTTATTCTGCAGCAGAGGACAGAGGACCGACTCACACTACAGGTGAATTTCTATCAAACAAAATCAATATCTGTCTTCGTGACGTTCAGCTTGGTGTTAAACGGCAGTGTGTGCGTGTGTGTGTGTGTGTGTGTGTGTGTGGACTGTGAGTGTGTGTGTGGACTGTGAGTGTGTGTGTGGTCGTGCGTTTTCTGCTCTTGCTCAATGTCCGCAGACAGCAAAAAAAACTCAGTGCTGGTGATTTTTTTTATTTGAATTACAAGGGCTTTATCAAAAATCCTTCATCACGTTTCCTCGGATCATTCACCATATGCGTCGATAATTAGGCTGACGGTTAGTTGGTTTTCCTGTCACATAATGCCGGAATATGCGAACAGGTAGACCAAAGATAAAACCTACTGTAAAACACTCTAATAATATTAATGTATAGACGTTTATGGAAAGCTTCATCAGCCTTGTTAGAAACCATATTCTTCTTCTATGGTATTGCTACAGCATGGTGTGATGTATGGAGGCCTGCCGCAGCCTCTTATTTCCACTATATGTTGTATTTGAATTATCGTGAGCTTCCAGTATCCCCTGGCGCGGTAGCTGTGTTTGTCATTTACTGGAGGATGTGATTGAATTAGTGGGCCTGTATTCAGCCTGTTGAGTTGTGTGTGATTGTATACCTTTTCTTACCCTCACAATCAACATATGGTAGTGCCATGATTTTGGATGATAGGTTACAGTGACCGTGATAAATCATCTTACACATCTGCTGTTATTTTCTTTATATAATGACAGTTTTACTTAATTTTGACTTCATATAAGCGTAATATTTCACTGCTTAGAGTATTGCAATATAGTGTATGTTAAAAAGTAACACCTGAATCATAACATAACAACAACACAGCTAAACACTTCATCATACCTGTATAAGGCCAGTATCATATTACATGAACCTCTTGGACACACAATTAAGTTCCTCTTGCTTCTTAATAATATCCTAAAGATTAATCAAATCTGTCGATGTGTTTAGAGGTATTTCTCATACATTATTTATTGTTACAGCCTCTATGGACATACTATATATAGTTGCTCCAATACTATGCCTGATATTCTTTAGCTCATATGTATGAGTAAAGTAACATTTCCACAGCAACAAATGTTTTGTGATAGTATTAGTTAATTGTTTACATCTTCTCATTTGGAGCTGTTTTCTTTTTCATATTTTGTTCGTTTTTTTAAGATAATATCTGACATTTGTATACAGAGTGACAGTCAACCTTATACTTTTATAGTATCTGTGTAGGTATGAAGATCTAATAAAATGTGAAACCCTTGGACGTGTAATAGCTTCAATAATATCCTGTATGGAAACATCACCATTGAGAAATGTTAAAAGTAGTGCTGCATGATTTGAAAAAAATAACTATTATGACTAATATTGCAATTGCGATATGATTCAAAATGTTGGAGGAATTGATCATTTTTTTCTACTAACTAAATTCTCATTATCTTTGAAAAATATATTAAAATAATCGTGGAAGATTTGTTGCAAACAAGTCTGTAGAATATGTTTTAGAGTCTGGTATATCTCTGCGTTCCACAATAATTAAAGTAAAATTGTATTTGTACACATATTTAGCCTTTAAGAGAAGATGTGCTTCCTGTGACATGGATATTGCACTAGCCAATATTGTGATTTCGATACAATTTTGATCAACTGTGCAGCCTTAGTTAAGTCTTTATATATAGTGTGATTTCATGCCGAGCCACGTGTTGCTTTCTGCACTCAAGCAAAATAAGAATATGAAATGAATCTGGATACTGCCAGAAGCTAAGTACTTTGTGTATGAATTGTTGTTCTGGTTATTCAAATAGTGGCACAGTTATGGGGAACCAACTTGCTGTATTAGCCTATCTTGTAGCTGGGCCTTTTGCTCATCCTACAGTGTGTGTACAGTGTGGGAATCCACTTACCATAAATTCAGTTGTGTAGGAGGTCAGTGCTGCTGGTAGTTGTGTAACGTTGATAGAAGAAACGTCCAAGTAAGGGTCTTCAACACTCACATTTGAAATGGTAATTGTAACAAGGATACAAATTCTATGGTCATTTTTATTTTTATTCAACCTTTATTTAACCAGATAAAAGCATTGAGATCAAATCTCATTTTCAATGCTGACCTGGCCAAGAAGGCAGCAATGTTACACATAACACATAACACAAACATATAAAATACAGAGAACATAACTAAGAAAACAAAAGATGAAAAAGCAGTCACTACATTGATGAAATGTGAAATCAGAAAATTAGCTTTTCCATAATAACTTGTTGATCTGTTATAGTGTGCCCGGTCTCTGGCCAACCAAATGCAGTATCTTATTTAAATATGGTCAGGTTACTCAGTCAAGCTGCAAAGATTAGTTGACTTATCTATTAAAGAGGCCATATTCTGCTAACTTTCACGTTCATATTGTATCTAGTGTCTCTACTTTAAAGAGTCCTCTCCTGCTCATGTTCAGGTGTATATCAGTATGTAGTGTCTCTACTGGGACATGTCTCCATGCTTTAATGTTCAAAAAGCTCTTTATTTTTCTCATACTGCCTGTGCTGCAGCACCTCTTTTCACCCTCTGTCTGAAACCAGAGCCCAGTCTGCTCTGATTGGTTAGCTGGTCGGCTCTGTTGTGATTGGTCAACCGCTTAGAGATGTCCCGCCCCTTAGCCTATCACGTACAATGTGTTGGAGTGCTAGCTAATAGAAGTGCAAGTGTTACATTGTGATGTCACTTAGTTCTGGAAGTAAACAAAGGAGTCTAATGGAGGGGTTTCCGGCGGGGGGGGGGGAGTTGTAGAGAAACTCCCTCTGGAGGGACATTTTGCGATTTTCCTTTAATGAGGTCAGGTTACTCAGTCAGGGGTAACTGCAACGATTTAGTTAACATATCTATTTAACTGAGAGTTTCTTTTTCCTTTAAGAAGTTATTTTCAATATGACTGTCTAGAGTTTGTGTATGCAGTTTTAATTCATTGTGATTGCACAAGTTAAGTTGGAATTCGGAGTATTATAGAGCATCCCGTAATACCTCTTTTAATGCTTTTTATTTATTGACTTAGTTTGTCCCTATGTACTTTGTTCAATATACTACCAAATGTTTTAACATACAGTATAAATAAATAAAAAATGATAGTAACATGCCTTATTGGATGCCTTCAATTTGAAAGAACATTTCCAAAAAAAGGAGTGAATTTAAATTCATATCATCATTAATCATTTTAATACCCCATTATATTACTACACTATTTTACCTGCAGCCTGTGGTCACGAGCCCAATATCTGTTCGTCTTTCTGTAGCTTTTTTGTCTCTGATACTTGCATAATATTCCTGGATTGAGTGTGTGAGAAGTCCTCTCTGTCCCCCAGCCTCTGTAATGTATGTGTGATGTTCCTGGTTGTGCGGTAAACCAGCGGTGATGTGATTTCTGCGTTTGTCGCCGCGTGACGGTGTGCGTTTTTTTCTCTTTGCTACCAGCACACACACACACTTTTCCTCCCTCCTTGCTCCTTCTTCCTTCTTCTGTTTCCACCTCCTCCATCCATCTATCCAGGCTGCTGTCTGGACTCGACACCTCCTCCCTCCTCTCTCCCTCCTTCCTCCTCCTCTTTCTACGGCAGCATAGCAGAGGAGAAAAATACTAATATTTTACCAGTGATAAAAACCAAAGCAGCGTCCGTTCACAGGGAGAGGGGGGATCATCAGCGCTGCAGCAGCGGATCGCTCGGCTGTCAGACGCAGAGGAATGATAATTAGAACGAGATTGACTCGGCAACAAGAAGAAAAGGAGGAAGGAGGCCTGCAGCAGAAGGATACATGCAGGAGGAGAGAAGGAGGCGAGGAAATCATAATCTGATCAACAAGAATCAGAAATAGAGAGAAACGGCAGCGGTTGTGTGTTTTTTTTTTAATTCGGAGGGAGATGATGGTGACAGCAGCAGCGGAGGAGGAGATAGAGGGATGAGCAGGGATCAATAATCCTCCCTCCTCCTCCTCTTCCTCCTCCCCCACCTTCATCCCTCCATCACCTCTGCAGGAGCCGCTGAAACCTGTGAGACTCCGCTTCCTGCTTTTCATTCCTTTCTGCTTTTTTTTCTAGATGCTGCATCGTGTGTGTGTGTGTGTGTGTGTGTGTGTGTGTGTGTGTGTGTGTGTGTGTGTGTGTGTGTGTGTGTGTGTGTGTGTGTGTGTGTGTGTGTGTGTGTGTGTGTGTGTGTGTGTGTGTGTGTGTGTGTGTGTGTGTGCGTGTGTGTGCACACTCGTATGTATGTCATGTATGTGTAACTGTTGGCTATATAGGCCATGGGGTCTTTTATGTGTGTGTGTGTGCAGATATGTTAGCTTTTTTGTCTGTTTGCATGTGATGTGTTCTACATGCGTGTGTGTGCATGTACGTGCTGTGGAAGTACGCTGTGTGAGCTGCTGTGTGTGTGAAACATGTGTGGGTTGTATGAGCTACTCAGCGTGTGTGTGTGTGTGTGTGTGTGTGTGTGTGTGTGTGTGTGTGTGTGTGTGTGTGTGTGTGTGTGTGTGTGTGTGTGTGTGTGTGTGTGTGTGTGTGTGTGTGTGTGTGTGTGTGTGTGTGTGTGTGTGTGTGTGTGTGGTGTGTGTGTGTGTGTGTGTGTGTGTGTGTGTGTGTGTGTGTGTGTGTGTGTGTGTGTGTGTGTGTGTGTGTGTGTGTGTGTGTGTGTGTGGATGACAGATAACGTGACTGTAAAATTGGGCAATTAAAATAGTCCTGCTACTGTCAAATTCATCTGGAATATTATAAATCCAAATAGGGAAAGAATTGGGTTTTCAAACCGCCTACACTTTGATAAGAAATTGGGTGCATATAAAATGCGTACTGAAACAAAAGTGAAGATTTATTTCAGGGCTTGTTTCAAATTTAAAACCCCAGAAAATGTAATTATGTCGTGAAGTCAATGGCTCATCTGCAACGAGCACATTTTAAAGGGACATGTCACGAATATTTCTAGAGTTCGAGCAAGAAAGTTCATTAATGACTTTGGAAAAAACTAAAACGTGCATTAAGTGATTTAGTTTAGACACTTTTGGTCAGTGAAGACAGATCAACACATCATTTATATATCATCACCTGGTATGAAAACAGTTGCTCATTTCACATTGAGCAGTCACAAAGCAGCATGGTGATTCATTATGAGTCTTTGTGTTTGTGTCCACCTCATGATTGTAAAACCAATATTTACTCGTTTTAGCTTGTTGGTCTCTACCTGCTCCTGAGGGAAATATCTGTCTCGTTAGCTGCTAAATGCTACACTATGCTCACCAGCTATAGTCTCTAACTTTATTTTTTGTTTGCTGTGGAACAGGAAGTTAACTGTTTTCCAAAGCTTTTTGCGGAACTTGCCGCAGATAAGTAAAATTGTGAGTTGGAAAGTCAACAATGACTTTAAAGGGGCTAACTTTCAGGTTCATATCAGTACTTAGTGTCTCTACTGTGACATGTCTCCAGGCGTTTCAGGCGGGGGAGTGTGTGGGAGAGAAACTCCCTCTGGTGTGAACTTTGGGATTTTAGCCTTTGCAGACCATTTACATGCACAAACACCTTTATAACACACTAGAGGGAAGGGGAAACCCAAATAGCATGATAGGACCACTTTAAAGCATTTCTGTCACATGTTATATCGGAATTATACTTACAAACACAAATGCCATTCAGTGTTAAAGTGAGAGCTTGCTTACTGCCTCTGCTTCTGCCTGATTTACGGTGTGTATGAAGCAAACAGTCTGCACATCCAGAGAGAGAGATAGAGAGACACTGACGGAGACAAAGAGAGAGAGAGAGAGAGAGAGAGAGAGAGAGGGATTGTGGTCAGTTAGTGAGTCATGAATAATTGAATGTGCTTAATGGAAAGAGATATAAAAACTGAAACTGTTTGACCGCTTTGAAATAGACACCAGAGAGCCATTTCATTTGTGTGTGTGTGTGTGTGTGTGTGTGTGTGTGTGTGTGTGTGTGTGTGTGTGTGTGTGTGTGTGTGTGTGTGTGTGTGTGTGTGTGTGTGTGTGTGTGTGTGTGTGTGTGTGTGTGTGTGTGTGTGTGTGTGTGTGTGTGTGTGTGTGTGTGTGTGTGTGTGTGTACCCCTAGACAGGGTAAGATACTTCATTACCCAGAATTCCTGTGATTAAATCATCAAGAAATGTCTTATTCTCCTATTTTATTCAATATCAAAGTAAGCACATTTTTGATGAAGCTATCACTGTTTATTAACTGGTTTTCTGATATATTTATTTAGGACCCACAATAACTTCCATGGTTTCCACTGCTAACTTATCCACTTTTGTACGAACTACTCTGCAGACTGGAGTCTTTATTGTATCAAACACAGCGCCTGTCTCATAAAAACAGGTTCAGATACAACGCCTGTTGGCAAGTGAGATATTTTTGCAGTTTTTCAATCTATGATAATCTAGTAACAGATCACATCTCTTACCCAAATTCAGGCACAGTTCTTGAACATGTATTTGTGTTGCTGTGGTCCACTCTTAGAGAAAAACACTCCTGGAAACACTGGTTGTTTTTGCCAATTCACACGTTTCTGGACAAACTATCACTTCCCAAAAACTAAATCAATATTTATGTTTCTTGATTTTTGCATCACTTACTTTGCTTATGTTATTCACCAACTCAAAAACCTACTCGACAATAAACCTGATTCAGATTCTGACTCCCAGAATTGTGATGTTTATATCAACTCTAAAACTCTAAGTCTAAAAATGCATTGGTAGTAATTTCCCATCAGTGGCACACTATTCTTAGGCAGACTATTACTTATGACGTGTAATCAATCAGATGGGCGGTGGGTGGCACATTGAGGTTGACTACAGACAGAGAGACAAAGATGGCTCCATAAGAGCCCAAAATGTGGTATTATCGTCAAAATGCTGAATATCAAAGCCAATAATCAGTCAACTCTAAATGCATTGTAACTGTTGCTAAGCTGTGATTGAACAGAGACATGTGGTTGATTTAATACATGTATAAAAAATTCTATCATAGCCCTGACGACGCTTACCTTGGGATTTCATACAGGACGTTTTTATGATGCAGCCCTCCTTGTGTTTAATGTTGTGTGACATTAGCTGCAGGAACGGCTAGCTGCAGCCAGCATGTGGCTACCAAGAGTTTTAAATGTTATTTAATTTGAGATTATTACATTGATATAGTGCAACACACACAACAGGACAGGATTGAATTGGAAGAGATCTAAGACTGGGTGAGAAAATGCATAGAGAGAGCGTGAGACCAGAGGAGGTGGACTTAGACAGAGGAGGGATAGTGATAGAGTGTAGGAGGAGAGGCTTATGGGGTGTGATGATTTTTCTCGTCTCTGATGGTTTAGACAGAGCATGTCATTGGTATTTATGGGCTGAGAGACCTCACACTCCTAGCAACCATGGAGAAGGAGAGAAAATGTATGAAAGGGATGGAGATGAAACGGTAACAGCTATATAAAACGAGGACAGCATGTGGAAGGAGAGCAAAAGAGAGATCAGGAAGAGAGAAGAAAAAAGGAAAAGCCAAAAAAACGATGACACATTTATGTTGAAAGCAAAAGTAAGGGACATAAATGGACTACAATAAAGAGGGCAAAGACTAAATGATGAATGAAGGAAAATAAAGGTGTTTTTCAAGGAACATTGTGAAAGTTGATATTTCCTGTTGACTCTGCCTCTCCTGTTTTACAACTACCTTCTCATCTTCTGTTTCTTTGGTTCTTTTTCATGTAACGGATGGATGACATACAGAAGGATCTGGATATGCCATCCAGCGGGACGATGAATCCCAGATGTCTCACTGTATCCAGGAACAAGACAAACATCTGACATGACATTTCACCTTCTCGCATCGCTTCCTCCGACATCCCGACTGCAGGATGACAGGCTGAGTCCTGCAGGTGAACCCTTGGACCAGGGAGAGGTGATCATCTCCTCTTCCATGTTTCTCAGAAGATGATCTTCGACGGACGTTATATTTTCATTTTTTGGAGCTTTGGGTTGTGTTGATTTCTCGAAGTCTGGTTCCAAAATGTTTTGTTGAACTGAATTCTTTGAAGTCTCTTTTCCTGCTCAGAAAACTCTTTGATTTGGAGAATTAACACGAGGTTTCTGACACCAGGATTTTTATTATGAGGTACTACGTGGAAGCTGGTGGTTAGGCAGCTTTTTGGGAGTGTTTGCACGCACCTCCAGACTGCATTCCTGCTGCAGAACTTATTGGATGCAGAAAATATCCCTCTAGCCCTCTTGCAGGACAATCTTCCTTCTCTCAGCAATGGTAATGTGCAATATCTTTGACACAGAGGGACAAATAACGTCTCTGTTATCTGTGATTTCCACACCTGCTTCTTGGAAACCATTGCTCTGATCTTCTGCATGGAGTGCAAAGAGTGGATACAACTGACTCACTGACAAACAAAAACACAGTTTTCTTGGGAGGGGGGGGAAAGAAGACAATCTTTTTTCTCTAACTTTGTTCTTTTTTTATCCGTCATGGGTCTGAACCCGGACAGAAACACCTGACTGAACCAGGGGATGGTCGAAGACTCGATAAACCTCTTTGATTGGATCCAGCGAGAACGAGGTCCATCTTGATCGTCAGATCAGAACTCAAAGAAGTAAACTCCTCTCCCCCCCACTTACCTCTGGTGGGGGGGAGGGTGAAATATACTTTAGTTTTTAGGGTGTAGGGCTTAGGGCCATAGCGTTTAGTTTTGTAGTTATTTAGACATTAGGTTGTAGACTAGACATTAGAGTACTGAGCTCTGATCTAGTTGGTAGTTATTTGGTTCTCTTGTGTTTAGGCTTATTCAGTTCTGCTGGTTTTAGCCTTTAGCTTGCTAGCTTATTTACCTGAACAAGCCCTTGTGGTATAACACACGTTAGCATTTGGCTCTGACCTAGCTGTAGATTACAGAAGATTAGCATTTAGTGTACAACCTGGATCTAACCAACTGTAACAGCAAAAAGCATTTAGGTTCTTTAGTTTAGAAATTAGCATTAGAAAACCTTGGTCATAAACATTTAGACCATTAGCCTGTGTGCTAACTCTCAGACCAGCTAGTTATGGATGCTAATCAAGGCCCAGGCCAGGGCAGCCCAGAGAGCCCTAACCGGGCGGTGGAGTACCTTCTTGAACTCAACAACATCATCGAGAGCCAGCAGAAGCTTCTGGAAACTCAGAGGCGCCGGATCGAGGAGCTGGAAGTCCAGCTGGACCGGCTCAGCCAGGAGAACAAAGACCTGCGTTTGGACCGGCAGCCCGTCGTTCCTCCTCCACCCGCTCCTCCTCCCGAGCCTCCACTCCCTCCTCCCCCTCCACCGCCTCCACCGACCACATCCACTTCCATGTCTGCCAAGAATCACCAACAGCACCACCACCACCACCACAACAGCCAATACCAAGCTCCTCCGCAGCCCCCCTCCTCCATCCCCCTGCACCAGAACCACCACCACCACCAGTACCATCACAACCACCACCACTCCTCCGCCCACCACTCTTACAACAGCTCCAACAGCATCCCTACGACGGCGATCCCGGTTCCCGCTCCGTCTTCAGCCCCGACCTCCATCTCGATCCCTACCCAAATCCCGACTCCGATATCCCCCCCGGCTCCGGCTCCAGCTCCGGCTCCTCCTCCGCCGCCTCCGATGCCGTCTCGGGACCAGCCGCGGGCCCACAGCCGGCTGACCCGCCTGCCCTCCACCAGCACCGGCACCAACACCAACTTTGTGGAGAAAGAGAGGGAGAGGATTGAGCGCATGCACAAAACCAACGCCTCCAACAACCACCACGCCCACACCCTCCACCACCAGAAATCGTAAGTTAGATTTTAAAGTATTCTTACTACAACCAAAGTCAAAGATAACGCGAGAGGAAGGCAAACCTGAACTCATGAGTGGATTGGAATAAACCAAGTCTACTTTATTTATTGTATAAATAATGCTCGAAACTAGAAAGCACCATTTTGAGTTTTATTTCAGAACATCCAGGAAAATTGTGAATTTGTCTTCTTTGGATGAAGATTACATAGGAGGCCATACTGAATACTACTTATTACATGGAGGAGTTAGTACATCCATTCTATTTCACAGGATTGGTAGAATCAAATTGTCATTTCTAATGGAAAACGTATTCCTCTAAATGTGGCGTCCAGTTAATCAACCCACTCTCTGTTTTGCCGAAACTTGTGTAAATCTTTGACTTTGGTCTCGACTAACTTTGCAGATTTTCTTACGCAGGTTTTGTTCAAGCCAAGAAAGGTTTGCCCACATGGTAAATATGACCTGGAAACATCTGCTTGCTGGCAAAATTGCAAGCAAAAGAAAACTGTATTGCTGAAAGTGATCTATTGTAAAGCTGTTTGGACTCACCTAATAGGAGAGGTGACTTGTTTTCCTTCTCGGATTCAGAGGGGGCAGCCGATGCCTTTGTGCTTTCTGTCTGTAATGAGACAATGTGATTGGTGGGTGTACAAGGTTGATACATATTCATCCTTTTATCAGCTAATATGGCTACAAAGCAAACGGTTGTAACAGGAATGTTCATGTTGCAGGAGAGCATGAGACTCCAGAGACAGACGAACATAAAGACCACAGCTTCTCTAACACTGATATTTGGCGGACTGAGCAGCGTTATGTAATTTCTGCTAAGCAAAGGGATTGCTTGTCCTTGCTGAGACCATAAAGAAAACACACTGTGCTTTATGTTTAGGAGAAGTTGTCGGCTGTACTGATCACCATAGTAACACCAGGTAGCTCCGTAGCTTTTTGATTTCTGCTCTTATTTAGTTGAACTCAAAACATATTTCTGACAAAACTCGAATTGGGGTTTGTTGCCTGGTAACACTATCTTAGGAGCATCCTATCAGGAAGTGTTGACATCCTGCAGGCAACAGGATGCAGGGCTGCAGTCGTCCCATGCTCGTACGAGGCAGTTTTTCTTCGGTAACGTTGTCCGTGGGAAACGCCGGTCATGGCAATTGCCGTTGCTATGCAACTGTGGAAAACCTGTTTGAAGGACGGCACTTTTTCGCTTACAGTTGAAATGGTTTTAACCTCGCTCTGTGCTCTTGCTAAGCTCGCACTGCTGTTGGGAACATAGAGCATCGTTCCCCTCTCCACTGAACGCAGAGAGGGAAAGAATAGAAGCTTCAGAGAGAGACCTGCAGAACTGAAGGCTGAGGAAACGCAGCGATGACTCATGGAGACGGATTTAATACTACTATTGCTTTGTCTCATAAGCTCTCATACGAACAGGCGAAAAGTGAAATAGATCGTGCACAGAGGTACAGTGTGACTCAGACTCTCAGATCTGGGTTCATCTTGAGAAAAAAAACCTTCCAATCCCTGAGTCATGGGGTGTTCAGGTGCAGCTGAAATCGTGAGAAAAAGCTGACCTCAAGCTTGCCAATGATGTAACAGGCAGAGAACAATGATGCAGTCTGACAGCAGCGAAGATAAGGCTGATTCTTTATGAAATCACAGTACAATCGGCTGCCTGCTGCCTGCCTCCTCAAGTGACTGAGTGTGATCCAATAAATCCCACACTGCACTGGGGCAGATTATAGCACAGAGGCATGACAGCATGTTGCAGAGAGCTGCCTACACTGGTTTCTGAGTGATTTCGTATTGGGCATGATGCAGCAAAATGCAAAACACCCTCACACTGATTTATTTCGCAGCACCTTGCAGCACCTCAGGCTGAAGCAGGGAAATACAAGACGCACATACACACTCACACACGCAATGAAGCAGTTCATATTGTAGGACATTATCAAACATTACATTTAAAGTGTTATGAAATATATTTAATAATAGTTTTGTATAGATTTGGATTTATTGTAGCCATATTCTAATTTACATACAGTTTCCATTTTCCTATTGTGCTACAAAGGCTTAGCAGAGTCAAACACTAGCATTTGCAAACATTATCCCTTACACTTTGTTATTTATAGATCCTGCACCATGTCCCTTTTAAAATGAACTTTAAGATCAAGTTTTGCATTTTAAAGGTCCCCCACAACAAATGTTCAGGTTTGCAGTTCATAAAGTTTAGGTTATATTCGTGGGGCACCCTCTTGGTTGATTAGTTGCTTGTCAGTTTGGTCTTGGTCGACTGATGACATTTTTTAAGACCTTTTTTCTGTGTTGAAAGAGTTATCATGGGTCATTTTAACAAAAGCAGGTTTAAAGTGCTGCTTTTGCATGCTTTTTTGGTGGAGAAACGTAGCTTTACAGATCTGTCTATTAAACACATAATCAATAGTCGATAAAAGATTGTTATTCGATTCATTTCTTTAGTCAAGGACAGCCCTTGTAATATTCGCCCCTCTGGCCTTGGCTTGTTTGCTGGCGGCCAGTAAGATAGTTTGCTACACGTATCAAAATTAACGGAAAGAAAACTCCATCAGGTTTTAAAGTTGTTCAGTTAAAATGTGGTTGCTATAAAAGGGTAGCAGCTGTGTGAGTGTCCGCACATGAACTCACCACGGCACAACAGCAAGAGTCACTACACACAGCAGCCTGAAGTAGACATTTTAAATGGAGTGTAGTAGACAAATAAAAAATGCAAAACACCTGTATGATCCTAAATGTTTGTATTAAAGATTCAAGAGTGAAGAAAGGAGAAAGTGAACTCACAGTCCTGTCGCTGAAGCGTAAAGCAGCATCTCAGTGTGGGAGTTACTGAGCAGACAGAGATACACCAGAAGTTTAAGGGACACATCTCTGCTAACAGCTTTGTTAAGATATCATTTGTTATAACAGTCTGTAGTTTTTAGGCAGTGATAATGTCTCGAATGAATACAATACTCAAATGAAATATTAGCAATTTCTGACTTTAAAGGTACAGTTTGGAGAAACCAGCTTGAGTGCGCTAGAATTTGAAAATACACAGCTGGAAAAAATCTGCCACTTCCTTACAGAGCCCCTCCTCCAACACACACGAACGCGCACATGACCAATGAGGGCATGAGATAAGTTTGTGCACAGATGGAAGGCTGACAGGCAGGTAGGCCATCCAGTTATTTTAGCCGGGCCGGCTCAGATGATTGGTCGTGCTTTTTACAGCGCCACGGCTTCCACAGATGACATTTTTTAATGGATTTTTTGTCAAAGCACTTAAGATATTCATTGCTATCGGGATGTTAAGAGCATTCCATGGAATATAACAAAAAGTGTATCTCGAGCCGGTTTCTCAAACTTACCTACCCCACCTTTAAGGTTTGCCTCCGCTGTTGATAGATGTTTTAATTACTCTTACACAGACAGGGAAGATTCAGATTCTTTCCTCCATTAAAAGTAGAAAAACTGTAGTCTTAAAATACTCAAAAAAGTCCTGAATTCCACATTTTACTATAGAAAACATACATAAGTACTAACATCAAATAGCAAAACTGCCTATTTCAGAGTCATAAATACTCATAATTAATGTAGTATTATCGGCTAAATGTACTTAAAGTATTGAAAGTAAAAGTACTCGATATGCAGGATTAATCTTTTTACAATATTTTACTATTATGGTCTACATTATCCTCTTTTTAATCACTGAGAAACACATTTTAATGTAGTACTTTGTCAACATGGGACACATTTTTTACTTGAGAAAGTTCAGAGTTGAGAAGTCGTAAATTACTGCATCATATTATGCAAGCATAGCAATGTATTTGTTGTAAACACGAGTTAAATAGCTGTAGGTTAGAGTAAAAAGTACAATCATTTCCTCTGACATTTAGTCGAATAGAAGTATAAAGTAGCATTACATGGAAATACTCAAGTAAAGTACAGTTGTGTCAACATAATACTACAGTGTGATTCTTTGGTAGTTGTATGTATGTCCATCACTGCAGTTGCACAGAGTAAAAACAGATATTTGACCCCCCCCCCCCTGGTGCTGATGATGATTAGAGATCCTTCAGTCTTCAGCCGTCCTCGCTCACATGTCAGTGGATGAGACGATGCCATCGCCATCATTAGACGTCAGTGCGGTGACATCTTATTGATCAGAGAGGAGACTGATGCAGAGCAGTTATGGTAATGAACAGAGGGAGGATGTGGTTCTGCAGAGTGGGTGTGAGGAGTCAGAGGATCAGATCTGAACCATCACCGAAGCGGAGAGAAATGGTGCCAAAGAGATTTAAAGAGGAGGCATCGATTATATTTTCTTCTGCAGATCTTCCTCTTTCTGTCTTTTTATTCTATTTTTCTATTTATTTCCATCTGCATGCTTTTTTCCCTAAACAAAGTTACGAAACAGTACATGCATTTTTTGCTACTTTAATACTCCACTATGTTTTCGAAGAAAGTATTACTTTACTAGCTAATTCTTACATATAAAAACACATGGCATTTTTACCCAGTGTTTTGAAAAAGATATCATACAAACCCTTCTATGGGCCTTTGAATAAAGACCGGTTTTTAGGCTTATGTTAAAAGTGCCATCTTACTCAGGGTGTCCGCGGGGTCTTAAAAAGTATTAAAAGTTGATAAATAAATTTAGCGAAAATTAAGGCTATTAAAAAGTATTAAACGGCATTTTCCAAGGTATTACATTTTGTAGCTTGTTTTCAATAAGTATATAAATTGTCCAAAGAGGTTGTATTCTACAGTCTGCCTGAATGTAATCATTGCGTAGGTGTGTAGTGTGATTCTGTGTAGTTTATTTATGGCATCCCGTTGGATGTGACGTCATCTGAACAGGACATCGCACGCTCACTGCTTGATAGCGCGCGAAGGTCCGTTTACGCCGGTTGTTAAACGTCCAACTGGTTGGAAGATAAGGAGGAAGGACAATCAATACTGTATATAGTACATGTGAGGT